GGTCCCTCCTAAAGTCTTTAGACTACAAGTTTTGGCAAGGAGAATCCCCTGTCGTCTTCGTTGTGGATGTCCTCAACCATAAGCCATATAACCCTGAACGTCAAATCGTAAGCCCTAAACCTTGAACCCTTAAACCCTAAAGACTGAACCCTAAACCTTAAACCCTGAACTCAACACTAAAACCCTAAACCCCAATCGAGTTTCTAGGACGTCACTTGGGCCGGCGCGCGATTCCGCCAGCTGCAGCAGGGGACTGTTGCGGAGGCTAAGACCTTGGTGGGCTCCCCGTGCAGCACATGGGGGATTGCCACAGGTAGGAGTACACTCCCCCAAACTAACAGGGAAACCCATATAGCACCATTTTAGAGGGACTGTAGTCTTCATAGGGCCCTTTTGGGTTTCCATTTTAGTTTCGGTGTACCATTTTGGGGGATTATAGGGTTATATAGCAATTATATAGGGGTATATAGGGATTATGTAGAGTTTGGGGTTTAGGGTCTAGGGTTTGGGGTTTAGAATTTAGGGTTTAGGGGGATTCCCAAAATTAAGGTATTACTTTGGGAGTCCCCATCATAAGGACTTTTGTATCTTTAGGTCTATTTCCGGGGCCCCCCTATTTTGGGAAACGGTTATGGAACTTAAACTAACTTACCATTTATATGGAGTAGGGATTAGGTTTCAAGTTGCCAGAATATGCGTATGTAGTGTTTAGATTTAAGTTACCAGAATATGGCTATATAGTAGACATTAGGGTTTCCTGTTCTAGTAACGTAATCTAAGTTCCTTAACCGCAAGCCGGGAGGATTTCGGGACCCTCCGACGGTATAAAGGGCATGTCGAAACGCTTTAGGGGGAAGGTTCCTGTGTGCGACAAATGGGGAATGCAGGATATTTTTCGTAGGGCTTCGGAAGAAGTACTGCAAAATCCTGAGCCCTAAAAGCTCAGCCCCGAACCCTATATGAGCTGTAGTCTAAACACCTTGAAGGGGGGTTAAAGGGAGGATTATACGTGTTATTGAGGGGTATACTAGGAGTTTGACTAACCCCTATATAGAGCTTCCAAGGCTTTCAAATATTCGGCGTTTTCGTTACTTCAGCTTAGACCTATTGAAGATGCGCAGGGAGGTTATTCCGGCTTTCGAAAGGGGCTAGCATTTTGGTTTTAGGAGCAGGGTCCTTACTATAGTGGCTGGGATAACCAAAATCCAATTCTTCGTGCAGGGGGAATTCTATGACTGCATCCTATTCAGCTTCCCTTGCATATTTTGGGCTCCCTGACGACACCCCGGCCATGCAACCTTACTCCGTAAGGTAGTAAGGTTTCCTAGTTAGCCTTCATCCGCAACAGAAACTTGAAAGTCACGGATCACCTGCGGGTAGCTTAGGGGAAGCTTATAAGACTAGAAGCAGGTTCAGTCAGTTTGTTTGTTGTTCGAGTCTTCCATGGAGATTGAGGATGTTAAGGTTGCGTCAGACCCAAAACCCTAAAAGTGCCGGAGTGCTTCGAGCGGGTGGGGGAAAGAAGGAGCCAATCCATATCGAAAATTAAACATTCCGACAGTAGGGGTACCCCTTTTTATACACAGAAATATAAAGAATGTTGTGTGTATATATATGTATATAAACCCCAGTAATTACCACGTTCTTTTCCAATATCCCGATATGAACTATAGTCCAAACTCCTTAAAGGGGGATTATATAGGGATTATATAGGGGACTACTATAGGGTTATTCAGGGGGATACTAGGAGCTTAGACTATCCCTATATAACTTTTGTCCCCGTCCGGTTCCCATTTTTTTAATCTTCGCAAGTCTATGCAGCCGTTCTGTGACAGCGTCGTAGCCAAGTGTATAGTCCCCCATATGGCTTTGGGTATATTATAATACGATCCGCATATACCCCATATTCTATCTACTTAAGGGGGACTTTATTGGGGTGCTTAAAAAAATAGACACGGAGACAGCCAGAGAGAGAGAGAGAGAGGGAGAGTTGCCAAATTCAAGGGTAAGCCTTTCTGCATGGGCGACCATGCTACCTACTGACACTAAGCCCCAAACTCTACTTGCCTCATTGGATTTAGTAAGTCCTCATAAGTCTGGGTCAACAATTATAGAACCTATTTACAATCACCCTAATCTATATGGGAAAAGCGGTGTTTTATGGGGAGTGAAGACTTTTGTCACCACCTAAACCCCAAAAGTATGTAAAATAATAGACCTAAACCCATAAACACAGCCATAAGGGCCACTATTTTACATACTTTTGGGGTCCAGGCAGTAGTTATTAAGCCCCGTGATCCTCCAGGTGGTATTTCGTAACATGCCCTACAGCCTCATGAAGCTCGAACCCCTAATCGTAAACCTCAAAGTCTAAACCCTACTTCCTAAACCCGAAACCCCTAAACCCTACCTAGCGCTTGTCACGTAAAAATCCCTGTGGCAGGAAGAGCTTTCTCCGACTGTGCAGGACGGAGGGTTTAGGGTTTAGGATTTAGGGTTCAGGATTTAGGATTTAGGGTTTGAGGTTTAGGGCTTAGGGTTTAGGGCTTAGGATTTGAGATTCAGGTCTTGGGGTCCAGAGCTTTGGGGTTTAGGGTTTAGGATTTGATATGTAGGTTTTGGGGTTCAGGGCTTTAGGGTTTAGGATTTAGGGTTTAGGATTAGAGATTTAGGGTCTAGAAAGGTTCTCAAGATGGGTGTACCCCACGGATCCCACGAAGGTGTATACATAAACTTTAACAGTATGTGCCACGGCATACTGATACTAAACAATCTTCAGCCCTAAGTAGTCCCCATAGCAGGGGGGCCTAGTGCATAGAAGGTGCTTGTGGAACATTATCATGATTACACTCCCGGAAACTAACATGGAAACCCAAAAAGGGTCCCAAAAAGACTACAGTCCCTCTAAAGGGAGGCTATCTGGGTTTCCATGTTAGTTTGGGGGAGTGTAGTATGAAGGGTTTTTATATAATGCATGCTCTCCTTGAAGTCCCCACAGAGCCCTTCGGAGGCTCCCTGGTCTTGCATGCAGGTGCCCTAAACCTTCAAAACCCTATAGTCCCCCTTAAGTAGATAGAATATGGCTTTGGGTGCATTGTAATAAGATCCCCATATACCCCAGATTCTATCTACTTAAGGGGGACTGTAAGCCCAAAAAAAGGCGTGTAAACCCGTAAGATTGTGAATCCCCATTCCATATCTCGAAGCCCTACACTAAACCTTACGTGAACCCCAAGCCTGTGTAGAAGAGCAGCGTTTGTGGATTCTTTGTTTGTGGGATTTGCATCGTTGTTTTACCTACTCTTGGGGTCCAGGTATTCCTCAATCCTCAAGAACATAGTAGTACCCATGTTCTTGTCCATTCTCTTATCCATTCCCCATTCCTTATGAACCGCCAAAACCCCATGCAAATTTGGGGTTCCAAACCCTGAACACTACAGGCCATCCTGGCAGATACCCTTCGCTGGCTGCGGCAAAGAGGGGGCTGCCAACTACATGCGTAGCTCGTTTTAGGCTTGGGGCTGAGGCCTTAGGGTTTGGGGCTTAGGCTTCAGGGTTCGCAATTGAGGGTCTAAGGTTTATGGGGATTAGGGTTTAGGGGTCGGGGTTGAGGGTTCAAGTTTTATGAGGATTAGATTCAGTCATTTATCATGGTTTCCCCTACTACGGTTCCCTTCCAGGTAATGTTGTCTGAGGAGAAGTAGGACACATTAAGGCGACTTAAGGGGAAGCGCATGAAAGGTAGTATATAGGGCGTGGAAGGGGTAATGTAGACCCATGACTAATAAACCCCCTCCTTTTAAGGGCCTTAATATTAGGACCCTTATTACACTCCTTATTAAGGGAGGGGGTTTATTAATCACGGGTCTGGGTTACCCATGTCAACCCTAAACGCTAAACCCTAAAACCTAAAACTCTAAACCCTAAACCCTAAAACCCTAAAGCCCTAAACAGACTGGAGGTAATTTCCGGGATAAGCCTTCAGCCGAACCCAAGTAAGAGTTGTTCAATGCGGGCCTCCCTTCTCCCTCTACTTGGGGGCCCATGGGACTTAGTAACCACTTAGGTCCCCCTAAAGGGGGTTATAGGTTATGGGGATATATAGGGTTTAGGGATTAGGGTTTAGGGTTTCGGGTTTAGGGTCCCTGGGGCTTAGTAAGTACTTATACCTGGGCTTATAGCCCTGCTTTTAATCCCCCCCTAAATGGGCTTCTAGGGGTTACCCCAAGTAAATGTAGGGTTATAATCCCGGTTATAGGTAGTTACTAAGTCCCATGGGCCTCCAAGTATATGTGTATATGTGTGTGTGTGTGTGTACGTGCGTGTTTTGCATATAAATATCTTCAGACGCGATGTTCATGCGTATTTACACCTACATATTTTTCCTTGTAGCCTCTTTAGGGTTTAGGACTCGTGATCTTCTGATCCCCGAACCACCCTAACTCCCCTAAAGCCCTAAAACCCCAAACTCCTCAACCTCCACACCCTAAACTCAACCCTGAACTCCTAAACCCCAGAGCTCCTGAACTCTTGCACCCTAAACCCCTAAACTCCTAAACCCTAAACTCCCAAACTCCTAAACCCTAAAACCCCTAAACTCGAATCCCAAGGTTCATTGGCCACACCGTCGTCCACGGAGCGAACACTCGGTACCCCGGTAGTACCCTTTTTCCCTTTTTATTTGGGGTGTCTCCTTATTAAAATGGAAAGTAGAAAGAAGGGTACCCTTATAACCCTAAAACCCTAAACTCTAAACCCTAAACTCCTAAACCCTAAACCCCAAGAACCTAGGAAAACTATGGATGGTGGTCTGGAGCCACCAGCTTTTGCTTTCGACAACTATACGGAAGAGCTGGTCCGTGACCTCGGCACAAAAGACCTGGTTCAGGGTTTGAGGTTTAGGGTTTAGGGTTTAGGGGTTTAGGGGTTTAGGGTTTAGGGTTGGGGGTTAAGGGTCTAGGGTTTAGGGTTTAGGGTCTCTTTAAGGGGGTATAGTGTTGCTGTTACGAAACCTTCATGACACTGGTATACAAAAACATCGTAATTCCCAAGGTATAAAGGACTGAGGGTCATGCAGAATTGTATTTTCCACCATGGAAACATTTATTGAAGATATACGGATCTAGATGGAATTGAAAAGAATACGAAAGCAATTTAAAGTACGGTACAATCAGGATCTAGGGTTGCTAAAGTGTTCTATGAGAAGAGTTTAGGGTAGGGGTTTGGGTATCAGGTTTAGGGGATGAGGGGTTCGGGTTTGGGGCTCTGAAACCCACCTTGAAAGTGCAAGTACCCCAGCAGCATGTAATTTGGGTCCCAAGTAAGTATGGAGGAACCATTTGGGTCCAAAGTATATAGCAGCATTGTCTAGGCACTTGGACCCTTAGGAAGGGAGTTTGAATTATGATGACCCTTGCTGGCTTTAGTCTCGAATACAGGACGCGAAGCATGAAAAGCCCTAACCTGAACCCTAAACCTCGAACCCTAAACCCTAAACCCTTGATCGATAGAGGAGACACTGTCGGAGACCATCCCTGAGCCTTGCATGGCAACACGATGGATATAGGGTTTAGGGTTTAGGATTTAGGGGTTAGTAATATGCTGAGGTCATGCAGGATTTTAGGTATATAACAGCAGCATAGTTGTGATGGTCATGGTACTTTGGTTGATGGAAGTCCTAGGAATTACAGGAGTCCAAGGTCCCCAGGTGGTGCAAGATGTCTTGTTGCTAGCAGTTGTAAGAAAAGGAATCGAGAACAACGATGGTAGCGATCACAGCATCAGAAGCATGAGTACAGGCAATGGTACCCTAAGGGTCCAAATACCAAATGACCATATACTTACCCAAAAACCACTACTATGATTCCTGTTACCCGAAGCCCAGGTATCGGGTACTTGGACCCTGTGGGGTAGTAGAAAGAGTGTTTGAAATCCCCAAGCTCGCAACCCCTAAGCCTAAAGTCCTGATCATGTTGCGAGAGGAACTCTGATTCCCGCAGTGGAAGGAGGAAATCTTGCACCACCCTATACATATTATGTCACGGGAAGTACAGCATATTGTGGCTCCTTAGTGGTGCAAGGTTTCCTCCATCCACCGTGGAAATCAGAGTTCCTCTCGCAACATGATTCGCATGTTGTCGGGGTTCCTAAACCCTGAAACCCGAACGTCAAGGACACCCCCCAAATGTATAGTTACCAGGTAGAAGACTCACATAAGTCTCCGATAAGGGTGCTGGGGCTCTATGAGGTCTATAGGCCTTCATCAAGGGTACCCACGACCTGATTATTCACCGCCCGGGGGCCTCGTAGTCCAGAGTCGCAAAAGGGATCTAGACCCTAAACCCTACTTACTAAACCCTTAAGTCCCGAACCCTAAACCCTCAGTCCTCCACCCTTCACTCCCCAAGCCCTGAACCCCTGAATCTTGGAATCCCTGTGCCCTCAACCCCCTGAACCCTCCACCCCTAAAATCATTCAACCCTGAACCCCTAAACGCCTAAACCCTAAACTCTAAACCCTAAACTCTAAACCCTAAACCCTAAACTCTAAACCCTAAACCCCTAAACCCCACAAAGAGAGGTGGCCTGAACGACTTCAGCGGCGACTTCCGCCAAGCCAAAGGGCCTCGCCTCCCGGTGACGAGCCCGCTGGGATGGCGTTTGGGCGACAGATTAGGTCCCTGGAACCTAAACCCTAAACCGTGAAACACAACTCAGCCGGAGATCGTAGAGCATGGAGGTTCGAGGTGTCAAGGTGTAGGATTTCAGGAGTATAAGAGATTGTACTTAGCCAGCGGGTCCCTATATATACAACTATTAGGGAATTAGGGTTTAGGGCCAAAATACCATAGTATAGAAGGAATTACGGGTCCCACTTCCATAATGGTTGTATATGTGGACCCTCCGGGTTAGATGGCCTGCCAAATGGTCGGTAATTCTGAGTATAAGCCCCTTATGTCCCATATGACACGTTGTAACCATATTCATGGACCAGTTGCCAAATTCTGGCTACGTGTCAAGCAGGCTGGCAAGGTGTAGGGGCAACATGAGAAGAATTGGGATTCAAACCCTAAACCCTAAACCCTAAACCTAAGTCCTAAACCCTAAGCCCCTAAGCCCTAAACCCACCCTAAGCCCCGAAAAGTTAAAGATAAAGAATGTTGTCATCATGTGAGCTACCGTCAACATTAGGGGGTACTAAAGCGCCATTAATGGAAGTCCCCAAAATCTTCCCTGATAGGAACCCATGTCTATGAAGTCTATGGGGAAGTATTGACTGTAGCTCATATAGAGATTATGCGGGAGTTCTATTGGTGATAGGAGTTAGAAGCACATGAAATAACCCCAGTCTGTGCTGCTATTTGTCCATTTTCAGGGTCTATGTTCCCTAAGCCCTAAACCCTAAACCCATGTGTGGGGGAGGATAGGGATCCTCTTCTACGCTCCCCCCTTGCGCCACCCGGCACCCTAAATCTCAAGCCCTAGGAAATGACAAAGCAAGTGAAGATTGAAGCCCTCAGTCCATCATGGGCAAAAGTGTGCAAACGTTGTTAAAGGTTTAGAGTTCAGGCTTTTCACGGCCTAGGGGTTTTGAGGGTGAGGGTGAACCACATTCGGAGCCCTTAGATGGTTTACTATATATTCTTTCATTACGGGGTATTACGCTCCCTGGGTACGTATGTTTGGGTTTAGGGCTTTATTTAAGACTTAGGCTTTAGTATGGTTTGAGCTGAAGCTCACTCGAAGTCATATTCGGAAGTAGTTCCTTAAATCCCCACTGAGCCATCGTTGGCTCTAATTGTCAACCTGCATTATAACAAAGCGCGAAAAGCAATGCGCAGTAAGCCGTGAACCCTACGCCTGAATCGCTAAATCCTAAATCCAAAACCTTATTCCCTAAACCCTAAGCCCTAAACCTTAATCCCTGAACCCTAAATCTAAAACCCTGAACCTTAATCCCAAAGCCCTAAACCCTAAGCCCTGAAGCTTAATCCCTAAACCCTACAGTAGATCCTAAACACTGAACCAGGCTCCCCAGACCCTCAAACCTAAGCCTTAAACTTTAACCCTAAATCCTAAACCCTAAACTTTAATTTCTAAACCCAAATCTAAACTCCTAAGCCCTAAATCCTACACCTTAAGCGCCTAAACCCAAAATCTTATTCCCTAAGCCCGAAAGTAAGCCTCAACCCTAGACTGCCCAGGCTAGAAAAGGTCGGGTGGACACCTCCTTTCTGGTACCACCTTATCCTTTGGTAGGAAAAAGTTGCTGCAGGGTTTAGGGCTTTAGCATTGTTAGCTTGAGGCATATTTCTTCAGGGGTACCATGTATTCCTTCGGCTGCCAATTTTCTGCCTCGATCCAAAGCGTCCCCCTAAACCGTAAACCAAGACTCCAACCCTAACCCCTTCACCCGGTTCAGACACCCTTTCTGTACCTGAAGTTTGTTTTAGGCTTTCAAGGTTTGAGGAAGACAAGGCAGATCCCCAAAACATAGCCCAAATGTATTATAGTCTAAACTCCTTAAAGGGGGTTAAATAGGTGGATATATAGGGGTGTATTACAGGGGTTACTAAGGGGGATATCAGGTGTTTAGACTATAGCTCAAATGGGACATCTTCTCCAACAGCACAGGGTTCCCCTATTGTCATGAGTGCAAATGGAAATCAATTCAGTAGTTGCAGGGTTCAGGGCTGAGGGTTGTTGACCCCTGGACCCCAAACCCTGAACTCTATGGGTAGTTCGGCGAGTGCCTAGGGATCGCTTTGTCTTTAGGTACCCCTCATATTTCCCATTACGTTTAGGGTTCATGGTTTAGGGTTACCCTTCCCCAAATTGATATGAAACCCTAGGCCCTAAACCCTCAATCCTAAACCCTGCAAGGCCTCACCTAAAAACAACGTATTCCATAGGGGAGCGGCCCATCATTGCGTGGCAGCCAGAGGTTGTAGTAGCTTCGTTAGGTCAGTCTTTTGGCCCCTAGACCCTTAACCCAAAACCTTGAAACTCAAACCTTAATCCCTGAACCCCCCTAAACCCTAAACCCTGAACCCTAAACCCTAAGCCTTAAAGCAGTTTTGTTTCAGAACCAAGGTTTGATTTGTCTAGGTCAGTTTGATGGAATCTTGGGTTTAGGGTTTAGGGTTTAGGGTTTAGGGTTCAAGGTGCGTGTGACGTTGGCTGTGGATGAGCTACCTATTCCGACAGCAATGCTCCTCTACATTTTTTTGCGAGGTCTGGAATAGGACCCAAGCAAAAGCCAGGCAGTATCCTGCAGTCTCTCACAATACTATTATAGACAGCATTGGTTTTTCGTTGCAGAGGAACCCTGTTGTAAACCTTTCAGCCAGCCCCACCTAAGCAAAGGGTTTCGTATTGCCCCTTCCTACATGTTCTTGACGAACAAACATGCTAAATCTCTGCAGCCCGCTTCAAGAGAAACATGAGTATCCTTTTCATGCTAACCCCCTACAAACAGTTTGGGATGATTGTCCCATGATTGTGAAATAACGTCTTACTGCTGCTGCAGTCAAAGACCTGTTGCTGCGTGGGGACAGTACCCAAGGTATCCTACCCAAGGTAACATCCCAGCTTGAGCTTCCTGCTCTAGCTTCTGAAACCTGAGGTAGGAACATATGAGGTCACGCTCACTACATTAGCGTTCTATGGCATCCACGTCTGATTTCTGGACCATCACCACATAATTTCTTTCAACCTCATACCCTGCACCAGTCCTGCGACCCCCAAAGTGGTCCTAACAAGTGCTTCGTGCTTGACATATCCCTTGTGTCTAGAACCTATAAACCCAAGACGCCGCATAGGTAAAATCCAGACAGCATACATATATATATATATATACCTGCCTACTGCCCGGTGCTTGCTGGAAAAGGAAGCATTGGGTAACAGGGGTGATTATTGGAGATCATGCTTATGTATAAAGATCCGTTTCTTCATCCCTTACGAAGCACCAGGCAGCCAACGTCGAAGCAATCAGTTGTGCTCTGCTTTAATAAGCCTTCTACTATAGACCTAGAACCATAAACACTAGACCCTTATGAAACTGTGTTTTGATTATGTAGGCCACTGCCCTACCTCGATAGAGCCTGGCAGGTCCCGGTCAGGACGACATGGCAGTAACCATTGGCCGGGTGTGAACTGACAAGGCTTGATAGCTGCGCAGGCGTAGTGCGAAAGCTTACATGATCAAGATTAAGGCTTTAGGGTTTTTAGGGTTTAGGTTTTACAGGTTCATAACCCTTATATAACTACGGTATCAAGGATCTGTCGTGCCAACATGTTGTAAGGGTTGCCAAGATAGCACTCATGGAGAATGCATGACGAAAGTGCGCAGCCCCTAAACTCCAAACCTTGTGAAAGGAGGAATCACACTCATTGGGTTGGCGTTTAGGATCTTCAACTATCTTCCTTGATCAGTTACGCAATGCTATCCGAACCCTACACACTAAAGCCTCTCTCTCTCTCTCTCTACATACATATGTATATGTATTCATATATATATATATACACATGCAACTAT